AAAACGGCAGGAATTTATTTTCCTTTTGTCTCGAATTCAACCCTGAAAAGTTTTTGTAAATTTTTACAAAGCTATAAATTTATCTTGTAATTTCTAGCGCAAAAGACCTCCAGATAGTCAGTATTTTTAAGTGAAACTCTACAAAATAAAACGTTTTTGATTAGAAAGTAATGCAAAAAAAATCCAGGCACACCTAAAAATCCATATTTTTTTAACAAACTCTACAGTCTGCACCCTAATTGAGGTGTCGAGATTTACAAATAATCTGTTATAAACTTTCGCCTATTCTGTTCATTTTTTAATAGAAAATGACTACATTTTTGCTCCAAATTCGACGCTGGAAAGGGATTTCAAAACTTTCCACAAACCGACTAGGGATTCGAAATTTACTTCATAATTTTTCACGGAAAATACGTTAACTTTGGCAGCATTTTAAGTGAAACTTTAGAAAATTGAGCATTTGGTAGAAAGCGGTAACTTGGCTAAAGCTGGAAAATTCTGAAATTTTGAAGAAATTTTTAAAGTATTGTTACTAAATGGCCCTTAAAATAAATCGAAAAACAAGTCAGCAACTTTTTCCAGCAACGGAACTGAGTTACTGCGCCGGTGTTTTGGGTTAGCGCACCAAGCCATTTGCATAGCTCTGCGCTAACTCGTAAAAATTCCCCGAGTTACCCAGGCCTAATTCCTATGGAAAACGACCAGATTTTTGCCATTTCACCACAAATTTCACCGCAATTATACCTTAAACATTCACTTTTGACTGAATACTTTCGCAGTCGGAGGTCCAATTTGAATATATTTTTTTCTACTGTTTTTAGACAAAATTTCAGTTAAAATATTTGCAAAAAGAAAATTAAATGAGCGTAATGTACAGGGTGTCTTTCCGCCGAATCCAAAGAACAAAACAGTGTATGAAGTATCCTCATGGCTATTTTATCACCGGTCTCAATGTTCTAACCAATTTTATGTCTTTTCCCCGATTTATTGCCCAATAAATGGGGACAATTGTGGAGAGGTAGCAGATAGGTGAGCGTAAAGCGTGGAACTGGGTAAATTGTAGAATTTATTGCGGAAATTATTGTGGGAACAATATCGGAGTTCGTTATTTATTGGCAACAATTTTCCAAAGTTCCAATGTTCAAAGATCAGACAATAAAATATACATCGGTACAGATCGTGTGAGTTATAGAGAATTGTATATACTTTCCTGACGGTGTTTCAATTCCAAATCAAAATTAATTCCTGGGTTTGTCATTTATTGTCTCTATTTATCAATTAAAATACGTTTCGGTGTATTTTTCCACCATCATCAGTTTTTATGGGTAGCGTTGTTGCTGCAACATAACCCCATAACAGTGCAAATAAAGTGACCAGAATATCAACCAACTAACCAAAAAACGCTTAAAACTGCTTGGCCATCGTCGCATCAGTTGGCGATTTTCGGGTCTTTTGTCCAATTGAGCCGGACGTTTCGCTAGCACGCATGGCTAGCATCTTCAGTGTTGGGGCAACTACAGTCGTTTCACAGCAAACACCGCTGAAGTTGCTAGCAATGAGTGCGAGCGAAACGTCTGGACCCGAATATCGCCCAGTCTTCGGACTAAACTGAATAAAATTATTTGGTTTTTGGGCCAAATGCGAAGCTGAAATTGGTTGTTGTTAGAGAAACTTTCAATATTTTCAGAGCGATGTGGAAAGGGA